TCTTTTCTGAGGGCCAGACTGCTTCTCCAGACACACACCCCCACTCAACTGTCCAAAGCCCAGCTCAGCTTTGCTCCTAAACCTACTCTCTTCTGACATCATTATTTGTGTTTGTGATACCACACTGATCGACCCCCACTGCGAAAGCCTTAAGGTTATCTGTGGAATGGAGAGGTGAGGGAGGAGGGAGAGTGGGCTACCATTTTGTATCTATTCTCTCCTCTCAGTCACCATGGCCACCACTTTCAAACAAGCCTCATTAATGCACCTGGAAAATGCAGTTGCCTCCTTACACATCTTATCACATCTGTTCTCGAACCACAAGTCCAAGCAAGATCTGATTGTGGCCTCCCTGCACTAGAAAATCAGTGCTTCCAAGTGAGGTTCAGACTCTCCTGAGTGGCATTCAGGGCCCTCCACAAGCCAGTACCATTCTCCTTTTCTCATACTGTCCCCTCCCCAAGCTGGTCTCCTCTCTGCCCCCTGATGCGCACCCAGATTGGGGCCCTGCCCACCCTCTGCCTGCTGAATTCTCATACATCCTTTAAAGTTCAACTCAAATGAAAACCTCCTCCAGAATATTCCCCTGAACCCCCAGTTAGCAATGGACTTCCCTCTCAGGCCTCCTTCTCTGGTCCTCTCCAAGGCCCTTTTCAAGCCCCAATGTATACCACAGCTGTCTTATCTGCATCATATTCCCCTACCAGACTATACATTTCACGGGCAGGGCATCTTACCTAAATTTTTTATCTCCCTCAACCAGGGTGTGCATACTGCAGGCACTCAATAAATATTTGCTGAATGAATAGCTATATGAATGCACACAAACACCAGGAAATGAAGGTCAGGCTCAGAAAAAGCCCGGTTCCCCTGCATCCCAGAGCCAAACGCATTCTTAGATGAGATCAAGCAATGAGATCTCACTCCCTCTCCCTGCTATTTCCTAAGTGTCCCATCAAGGCCAGTAAATGCAGTTTGGGAGTAGGGGAAGGCAGTGGAGAGATGGATAAGGGAAGAGGCACTTCCCTCCACACTGCTAGAGAATTATCCCATGATAAAATGAGACGTGAGGATCTACTCTTTCCTGATTAAACCACAGGGAACGTTGATTCTGAAGTCCTGTGGGGCCCAAAGGCTTGGTGACTTCAGCTCCCGAGCACCCTGCTGCCAACCTCCCCTCTCCGGAAAGGTAGGAAGGACTGGGGGGCTCGAACAAAGGGCAGATAGGAAGCTGGGCACCCTGGGACATACAGAAGACTCTCTGAAGCTGCTCTTGGCACAGAAGAACGAAACCTCAGACTCAGAATGGATCTGAGAACGTTCCACGGTCTAGTCCCCTAATTAACGTCATTAATTCCCTCTACAACAACTCCCATTAAGCTTCTGTTTGAACCCTTCAGTGATGGGGAACTCACTACCTCAGGAGGCAACAGAAAAGCCCCCAACTTGTCAAGTCTAAAGGTTGTCGAATACGGTTGTACAGAAGTCAGGAAGGACATTCAGAGTGCACTCATGGCAGTGCCAAATATCCCTGCAGTAACTGCCTCAAGGCTGTCAGTTTACAGTCTTGTTCTCTAAAACAGAGGAGTCAAACACACAGCTTACGGGCCTGAGTACACTCCTGAGTACAGGTCGAACCAGATTAAAATGTAATTGGGAAATATTTAACAAAATAAATAAAAAGACAACAGAACATGGAAAACGCCAACGTGTGAGCCCCGGTCTTCACCTGAGTTTGACCCCCTCCCCCTCCCTTGGTCTAGAGGAGGACAAGCCACACTGTACACTCCCACTGGCTCCTGGACCCACCACAACAGGAGCCAGGGGCCTGGTGGCCTTCCCTGACAACACCCACACCAAAGCAGCGACACGGCCCCTTCTCACCTGGCTGAGAGCCCAGAATGGAGGTCGTGGACATCGCTCTCTCCTTCTGTTTAAAAATATCACGTGGGTTTGCTAGTCGATGAGATGCTGCCTCCTGGAAAGGAGGGAACGTACGTGAAAACGTAAACTGCCCAAGCACATCTGCACAGCACTAGTTCACCAAGAGCTTTCTCACAATGCCCCTGAGGACTGGGAGGTCAAAGTATTATTACTCCCATTTAACAGTGAGAAAACAGGCAAAGAGAAGAGGTGATTTGCTCATGACTCATTAGACAAAGTCAATAAATCATGACGTTGGGCCCCAATCTTAAAATTTTCTGCCTGATGCCAAGCGGTCTCTCCAGTAATCACAACTGCAAAGTGCTGCCGTGGCTGATCAGTTATTAAACCCTTGGGCTAAACACTGACCACCCTTGTAGGCCTGGACTCTAGAATGGGAAAGCTGAGGGATCCCTGGAGCCTCTGTGAGCATCAGACTCGGCCCCCTTCGGCCTCTTCCCCATGAGAGGAAAAGAAGAGATGAGTGACCCCGGGCCACAACTGCAGAAGTGCTACCATTCATCCAGAGTCTTGTGTGGGCACACCGTTCCCTTGCGCAGCTCAATCCTCAATCCTCATCTGCCTCCAAGCCGAGCTCTCCTCTTCGAGGCTCTCCTGCCATCCTCTCTACCCTCTGCAAGGTGCCTGGAGGTCCCAACCCCAACTCCTCTCCCACCCCAGAAAAGGTTAAGCGCCTTCAGGGCAGGGACTGTTTGTCCTCGTCTCCCCACCGTCCAGCACAGCGCAGAGGTTGGACTGGGCTGGATTACGGATCCCAACTCTTTGAGGCACACATATATCATCCCTGTTTTACGGATGAGGAAACTAAACAGGAGCAAGCCTCAGGGCCCGCGCGGGATCCCATAGTTCAGTGTCCTGCCTCCTGATGGACATGTGTCTGTCCTCCAGTCCCGTGGCCTGAGCCCCCCACTCAGGGTGTTCCAGTCACTCATTTTGAGCTCAAGGTGGCAAGAAGGGTCCAAATATCAAAGACAAGCTCATCCTCACCTGTTGCTCCTTTGAAATCTTTTCTTGCTCCTGCTCATACTTCCTATCAGGTGAATTGGATGAGAGGAAGAGTGTTAAGAGTCAGATCAAATACTTTCAGGTAAACCTGACCCTCCCTCACTTCCTGCTAAGATGTCCTTGCTTGAGAAACCCCTCTCGGGTAGTACTTGAAGGGAAACCTTCACTAAGGAGCGGGGAAGGAAGGAAGGAGGGAGGGAGAGAGGGAGAGAGCAATAGGAAACAGTGAACAAATGATGGGGTGTGAATGGCACAGAATGCTACAATTGTGACAAGACACATGAGGAAAGAGGTGGCTTCAGAGAAACTGGTGTAGTGAAGGAAGAAGAACCAGGAGAACAAAGAACTCTGAAAGCCTGCAGGGCTCTGATCAGGGCCATGACCACCTGTGCTGCCAGAGGACCAAGGAGGGAACATGCTGCTGTCTCCTAGCACAGATGGACTCAGGGTGCAGATGGTGACACAAATTTTCTGGATATTGCCAATGTGGGGATTTGTTCTGACTGTGCTTATTTGTTATAGGAGCTGTTTTCTATTTTTCCCAGTGAGGGAAAAGGTGGAAAGAGGTGGGGAAAGAAAAATTTTCAATTGAAAAAAAAATTAGCTTAAAAACTAAAAAGAGGACTGGGCCCAGCCTTCACCTTTGGGCATCAATCTCGTGGGCATGTTCCTGGTAGCGCCGCTCTCGCTCGGCCGCCTCCTGCAGGTCCCGCTCCCTGCGTTCCTGCTCCAGTCGCTGGCGCTCCTCCTCAGCCCGTCGCTTCTCCTCTAGCCGCCGATTCTCCTCGTCTTTCTGCGGGGACAATGATGCTGATCCTTAGGTGTCCTCACCAGCTCCAAAATAGGAAGAGGCGGAGTCCTCAGGCCTGTGGGCACCTCCCACTCTCCCCATCCCATCATCCTCTCTCTGCACAATGGTCACCGGGAAGGGCAGACAGCACTTAGCCGCCTCTGTCCACAACACACACACACTGCTCCTCAGATCAGGACTATCAACTGATCCCTCCATCTTCCCTCCAGCAAATTTCTTGTTCACTACCATTCAGAACAAAAAGATCGCTAGAGTCCCAATCCTTAGCCCAAATGCTCACCTCTGCTTTGGCCCAGAAACTGTCTTTACCAACCCTTTTGATCTCAGACACAGCATTGGTTTTTTGGTACACAGAGCCCTGTGGAGAGATAGATAATTTTCATCAATGACCCGGACCTTGAAGGAAAACTACGCTTCCGAGGCTTCTTAGACATGAGATCCAACTGCAGACAAAATCATAGAATGTCCTCACTTTCAGAAATTTCTCCTTAAATCAAGAGGTTCAGGTCTTGTGGCAAGTACTGTTAGATACAGACGTCTTGCACCAAGCTCCTCCTGGGAACAGAACCCTGGGGATGAAGATGCCAGGGCCCTCTACAACATAAAGAAGTAAAAGATGACCATTAGCCTCCCTGACCTGCCCACTAGGATTCTAGGCCAGTCCTACTAAGCTGGAGTCCTGGAAAGACCCAAGGCATCCTATACAAAAGCACTTTAGGGGCTGGCTCAGTTCTGCTACAGGATCAGTATATGTGCCCTTGGAAAGCTATTCCTCAGTTATCGTATGAGACAGGCTCACCACAACCATGTGGTACCCACACAAAAAAAGCTACAACTGTATGTAGCAGGACAGAGGGGGCTCTGCACTGGTTGGAGCCAGCTGGATCGGGAGGTTAGACTTTGCTCCCAGGAGACAGGGCTTCTTTAGGGCATCTTAGCCCATCACCTTACCTCCACCCAAAGCAACTACTACAGGTGGTTCAGCTGCCCAACAACAGAAGAGTGATTACTGCCAGCAAACATTAGATTCAAATGCTATGGTAAATAGCAAGAGTCCCTGCATCTGGGTTTGGAAACCATACCAATTCCTGGAGTAAAGACTGCGAGAACAAGTGGCCCAGCTCAGGGGATACAGCAGGGACTCCTCTCATCCTAACCCTCCCTGACTTCCATTTTAGAATCTGGAACATTGACAAGGTCTGTTATTTCCTCAATTTGGAGGTACTGTACCATGTCATGGTTGTGAAGGCCACTTCCCTAACATCCCCTGAAGCAGACAGATCTCATCAGGCTGTTATGGTTTCAGTGACAAATCAGCTTCCAAGAAGAGCTGAATGTAGGTCTGTCCTAAGAGGGGCTTGGGTGCACAGTCCCGCTACTTCTGAGCAGAACAGACATCAAAAAGCAGGAGCCAGGACATCTAGTCATCTGTATCCCTCCTCCTCCAAGCTTCTCTTCAAGCAGTCAATCCCCTGGCAAGGACAATACTGGCCCTGGAGCAAGAACTCACCACTGGCGCCTGGGGGCCTGAGTCTTGGAAGCGGCTACTCTCTTTGTGGAAGTTATAATTTGCCCCTGAAGCTTTGGCAACCTTCTGCATGATGGATTCCGGCTCAACGTCCTCCTCAGCCCGAGCATTGATGGTCACATGAGCCCCCTGCAGGCAGATGCACAACTTGGAGAAAGGAAGGCCCAGCTACCGAGTAGACAGTGGTCATTTATTCACCCCATCTCACAACATACAGAGCCAACAGTGAATGCTGTTCTGCTCATTTCCCAGAGGAGAATCCAATTTTACACAACAAACCACAAAGGACAAGACTGTGGGAGTGATTGGGGGTGGGAAGGGAGGTCCACAAGGTAACCATCCCAGTCAGCCAGGCTAACTCTACCTTCTTTCTGACCTTGCGCCCCACAGTCCCAACAGTTGCTAAGCCCTTTCATTTTTAACTCTAAAATCTTTTGCATGTAACCACTTCTTTCCCTTTCCATTGCCTTATTTTATCTCTAGCCCTCATGGCACCTCCCCTAGACAACCGGACTCCTTCCTGGTCTCTCACTCATAAACTTGGAGAATATTGTCAGCTGACAGCCAACACTTCCCACCTTCTACGGTGCTCCACAATGCCAGTGAAGATAGCATCATTGGCACTTTGAGGGAGGAGTGTCCCCATTTCCCTACCTCTAGAATAGCACAGTAAAGGAACTGGGATGGGTGCTGCAATGATGCCCCAGGATGCCATGGCAGAATGAAGGGCTCATGAGAACATGCTCAAAGACCTTCCAATTTAAGGAAATTAATGCTAAAAGACATCCCGGAAAATTGAAGCATCTGAAAAAAGTGAACCACTAACACCCTCCTCCCTCCTTTACCAACTTTCTCTTTCCTATATATTTAGGAAGAAGACTGTTCTTTCCACCTCACAGACAGCATCACCAGGAGAACAACAGGGAAGCCCTGCTAAGGACACAATCAAGGGCATCCTCCCTCTCAAGCTCCATGGCAGAAAATGTTTCTTATCAGCTATGCCAACTTTGCCACGGATTCCCTAAAAGACTGACCAGCTATAAGGCCTGGCAGGTGCCTTTCCAAAGTGCTGATGTCAGAATGTGGCCACCAAGAGCCAGTGGCTGCCAGGAAACTGAAGGGGACGGGGGGGGGGGGGGGGGGAGGACCTGTGACTTCACTGGTCCAGAGAATCCTTAGTGAGGAAACTCCCTTTATTCTAGCAGTCAGCTACCCTCCACTGATGATCTGATGAGCTGCCTAGGACCCTGAGAGCAAGGACCTGTCCAGGGTCACTCAACCACTATAGACCAGAGGTAGGACTTGATCCCAGGTCTTCCTGGCTTCGAGGCAGGAATCTATCCACTAAGACTCTCCATATCCCAACTCTGGACATTTTCTGTCTGTCCCCCATGCCTGGTACACTCTCCTTCCCCATCTCTACCTCCTCTTTTTGGCTTCCTTCAGGTCCCAGCTAATATCCCACCTTCTACAGGAAGTCTTTCCCAACCCCTCTTAAGTCCAGTGCCTTCTCTCTCTTATCCCTATTTATACTTATATGTAGCTCGTCTGTATGTGTTTATTTGCTTGTTGTCTTCCCCATTAGACTGGGAGCTCCTGGAGGGCAGGAACTGTCTTTTGCCTCTCTTTGTATCCCCAACACTTGGCACAGTGCCTGGCACACAGCAGGTACTTAATGTTTACTGAATGACTACACCACACTGCCTCTCTCCATTCATTCGACACGGCCTGGGCAGCTGAGTATAAGGTATCAGAGAAGACACAGAAAAAAAGACAATCCTGGTCCCAAAGAGCTAATAACTCTAGCAGAGAGAAAAGAACCAGCATGCCCAACAAAAGGAGGTACAAAGAATGGTTGGGGGGCTGGGGGTTGCCAATTACAGAAGTCTTCAGGGAAGAGACTGAGAGGGACCATAAGAGATGTGTAGGACCTGAAGGACAGAGATTAGAGGAGGGGTATTCAGGCAAAAAAAAGACCCCAAGAGCAAGGGTGTGCAAGGATCCAAGCACAGGGTGAGTTTGGGGAACACATGCCACCTGAGCTGGTCAGAAGCAGCCCAGTCTTGAGCAGTGGGCCTCAGAGCACCACATTCTTTGTCATGAGGAGCCATGGCACACTGAAAGCTGGTAATACAACAGGAATGCTGGGAGACTCCCAACCATAAAAGCAATTGTTTTTGTTGAATTCTTTGAGAATTCAAGGTCTCGTGTTTAGTGCATAGAAATAAACAGGGAAATTAAAATAAACATATTTTGCAAATGCTATGCTTACCATAATATGTATGCCAGCTAAGATTAAAAAATGGGCCTGTGGTGTCATTGATACAGGAAATTCCTGAATGAGAACACACACTCTTTCTACTAACCATTCTCTGCCTCAGTCTTAGGAAGCATCCCTGAACTCTCAAGTGACTTGTCCAGGGTCCCATAGCAAGCATATGGTACAGGGCAGACTGGCTCCCATATCTGCTTGGCCCCAAGCCCAGCTCTCTATATACCATACCACACTTCATCTGGGTTAAGTACAATTTATAGTAAACAAAATGACCTATCGATTTTATCTTATCTGCAATACAGCATCCAAAGTCTCCCAGCACAGCCAGAGTGCGGCAGAAGGGCCTCTGAGAGTCACAGAATGTCACACAGGAGGGCAAGGGGAGAGAGTCAGAAAGATAAGCGGAGGTCAGCACCGCAGGCAAAGGTGCCTGGAGGTTACTCATTAGTTAATGGGGAGTCACCAAAAGTTTGTGAACAGGGAGGGGACTCAGGGCTAAGCCTTAGGAAGGTGGCTCTTGCAGCAGAGATATAACAGATTATTAGAAGGAGCAGCCCCATAAAAAGGAGAGAGGCAATTTAGGCCTGGCTTGAGATCATGACAGTGAAAATGGAAACGATCCTACCAGTACTCTGTGACCCAGTGACACTAGACCCTGGCTGTCCTTCCTCCAATCCCAAACAATTTTTCTGGCTACTCCCAGGCTAAAATCTCACTGTCAATAAGAAGCCTTTCTCAAACTTCCTCAATGGCAGTGCCTGCCTTCTCTGCGTATCTCATGAGTACAGAGCTATCTCCAGGATGGGAGCTTCTTAAGAGCAGGGACAGAACTCAGCACAGTGCCCAGTTCATAGGAGGTACTTAATAAATGTTGGTTGACTTGACTTGAAATAAGGGAAAGATGTAAGAAACATTTCAGAGTTAGAGCTGAAAAATCTCAGCACCAATCAGTGTTGTGAAGGGAAAGTCCGATGAGGCTAGGGAGCTGGAGGCAGGGGTCGTGTGGTCAAGTCAGGTTGGCAGAAAGGAGCTGGTCTTCCGAGCGCCCTCCCAAGTGATACCTTTACCTTTAGGAAGCTTGCCATTGTGCTGACGTGGTTGGCGCAGGCCCCCTTCCGCACATCGTTCACGCCTTCACCTGTCTGCAACACAAGGAATGACGGCTTCGTCTTTGGGTCTGACCCCTTGACTAGAAAACAGGCTTGCTCCCAGAGCGATCCCACCCCGAAGCAGAAAAGGACAAATCTCAAATGACCCACACCCTCTCAGCTCTTCCCTGTGAAAACGCAAAGGAAAAGTGCTTATCTGCCTATGGCAGGCAGCCTAGGGAACAATGGAAAAGCGCATGAGTCCATGTTCTACTACTTCCTACCTGGTGGCAGTGGGCAAGTGCCCCTTTTCCTCATCTGTACAGGGAAGGGGTTGGCATCCCTTAATCTCCCTCCCCCCTCACCTGCCCATTTTAAAGAATCCAAGAGCTATAAAGGACGCCAGGGCGCATCTGGCCCAATTCTATCCAAAACGTGAAGGCCCTCTCCAACACTTCTGACAAGTGGGCTTCCAGTCTCTGGCTCTACACCTCCACTAACTGGAAATTCACTCCCTCGTGAGGTAGTTCATTCCACGATCAGGTGGGTGCAATTCTTAGGAAGCTTTCCCTAACAAAATAATGACCCAAAGTCTTTGCTAAAGGCTGCCACCTTAGATCGTCTAATCCAACTCCCTGCCTGAGGCTGTAGAGTAAATGAAGCAGGAGACACTGGAAACACGAAGCTTTTAGCATGGAATCCTGGGGACATCTGAGTCCTCTCATATTACCCCTAAACTAGCCTACTGCTGGTTTTATGAGGGACTACCCTCTTTTGTTCTTTCTCTGGTAACATTCACAAAAGGTCTAGGAATCAAATATCCCTTCTGCCTTATGTACAAATGATAAAACTTGGACAGAGAGAGAAAAGAGTGATTTGCCACAAGTTAGATGGCAAATCAGTGACATGTGGGTTAAAAATCAAAATTCTTAATCCTACGAATTATACAAAAGCCACAGGATCTCTTTAGAATTTGCTTTTTTTTTTTTTAATGGGCCGATCTTGGAAGACAAGCAGGAGTTAATTCTGAAGGAAAACTGGAAATAAAAGCTCTACCTACCCAGTTGACAAGGACAAATTTGGGTAGGCCGGAGTTTGGGTCCTTCACCCGGCAGAAAGCGTACATCACCTTCCCGCTATTTAGCTCCTCCACCATCTCTTCCAAGCCACCTTCTGCAATACAAAGTAGCAAGGAAGGAAGTCAGGAAAGCATAAGGGAAAATCCTAGGGAAACTGATCAGAGCTCACAACAACAAACAACAACAAGAAAAACAAGCTTTGGGTTTTTTTTTTATTTTTTGTTATTCTGAATGTGACAAACACCAACGTGAACATTTTCAAAAGCAAACAACAGAAAAAGAAGACTCTCTGTGAAACTATGACCATTACATAGAGTTTGTTTTATCCAAATGTATGAAAAATTCAAGCCAGTGGTTTCAAAGTCGTCCTGATCGTGTTCTCTAAATGCGTCTTCCGTGTGTTTTACAAAATGCTCTAATGACCTTTGTTCCTTTCTTTGGGGAGCATCACTATCCCTCCCCAACTCAAAAAAAGTCTTCCCTGGTAACAATTGAGAAAACAAATTCAGATTTGACTATAGACAAAAAAGACTGTTTCATTCTACACCTCTAACCCATCACTTCCAGCTGGTTAATGTACTGACCAGAGTCTTGAGACAGTTTTTCTTTACAATATTATAAATAACTTCATAAGTTATTGTTATTATATAAATTGTCCTCTTGACTATGCCCAAAGGACTATAAAACTCTGCATACTTTATGACCCAGCAATACCACTACTAGGTCTGTATCTCAAAGAGATCAAAGAAAAAGGAAAAGGGTCTAAATACATACAAATATTTGTAGCAGCCCTTTGTGTGGTGGCAAAGAACTGGAATTGAGGGGATGCCCATCGACTAGGGAATGGTTGAACAAGTTGTGCTAAATGACTGGAATGGAGTACTATACATGTCATAAGAAATGATGAGTAGTATGGTTTCAGAAAAACCTGGAAGGACTTACATGAAATGATGCAAAGTGAAGTGAGCAGTACCAGGAGAACATTGTACATAGTAACAGGAATATTGTAACGAGGAATGATCAATTGTGACAGACTTAGCTACTCTGATTAAGGCAAATATTCACAACAATTTCAAAGGACTCATGATGAAATGTGGTATCCCTCTTCAAAGAGAGAACTGATGATCTCTAAGTGCAGATGGAAGCATAATTTTTTCCATTTTATTTCTGCTTTTTTTTTTTTGCAACATGGCTTAATGTGGAAGTGTGTTTAGCATGGCTTCTCATGTATAATGGGTAACTGTCTTCTCAATCTGTCTGGAAGGAGTGAGGGGAAAGAAATTTGGAGCTGAAAATTAAAAAAAAATTTCTTTTAAAAATTATCATCCTGACCTGCTTACTTCACTTTCCATTAGCTCATACAAGTCTTGTAGGTTTCTCTAAAACCGTCCCTTTCATCATTTCTTATGGTACAGTGATATTCCACTACACTCATACACCATAATGTATTCAGCTATTCTCCAACTGATCGGCACTCCCTTTGTTATAACAGAAAGAGCTAGTCTATTTTTGTACATGAGTCCTTTACTTTTTACTTTGATTTTTCTTTTATCTAAACCCAGGAGTGCTGGGTATTGCTTTATTCTTACAGTTTCCATCAGCCCATGGGAAGAATGGAAATAAGCCAAAACGACTTAGTTTTATGGCAGTCTAGACCAAAATGAGAAGTAATGAGGCTGAGAAGTGTGCCCTGCACTCAAGTCAATAAAACTCACTCCTGTCCTCACTCTTGCTCAGAACCCCAGAGACCACTTCCTCCACCTCAGCAAAACAGCGTCACACCTTGGCTGTCTCCTGGGCATTTTGAGGGGGCAATTATAAGGATCCTCTAGAAGATCCAACTGTCTAAGAGGCCATTTCACTCTTTTTTGCTTTCCCGTTTTTATCACTAAGGATAGGTAACTGAAAAGTTAGGTTAGTCTCTATTTACAATTACAACCTCTGTGGGGTTTTCAGAGTATCCATTGGCTAGCTATGCCAGCCAGAACACACACACGCACAGATAACAGGTGGACAGACTTTAGGGCAGGAAAAGAAAACGGGCTAAAGGAAATTATCACAGTTCAGGAAGTGCTATAGATCAGAACCAAACAGCAGCCCTATTTAATATACTGAAAAAGAACTATGTACTTTAAAAAGCAATGAGAAATCTCATTATGAAGCAAGGGACTGCAACATTACCACGCCCACTCTCAAGCTCTGCCTCTTCGTCTCCAAGGCAGGGCTGGTGGTGTAGACCACATCTCTAGGAGGAGAGATGAGGCAGAGAAAAATAGGACAAAAAAAATCTGTATCAATGAGTTTTTAATTGTTGTTGAAATAGGCTGGGAGGGGAACACCATCGAAGAAAAAAAGGAGTGTTGCCATTTTCAGGTTGAGTCCCATCGTTCTGTGCCATCACTGAAAAGCAGTCCCGTGCTGGCCTACACTGCCCTTGATATGCCCACGGTTGTCACCAATGCCTCTGGGTATATATATGTGTGCACGGCACTTGAAAAAGATTCAGCAAGACAGTATATAATTAAATGGTTAGATTAGCAGTAAAGATACTAAGTGTGACCCAGAGGAGTTAGAATGAAGGACATTTCTGATTCGCCACTCCCTCCTACTCCTCCCAAGGACAACAGAGGCGATTTGGGGGATTTTATTTAGTTGCTTTTCCAAAACTTTAAAAGATGTGTTATTTCCCTGGGATGGGTGCTCTTTCCTTCCCCAGAAAGTACGCTCTTACTGAAGCCTTACAAGACCCCCGTTTTATCAGACTCCATGCCCTAAGAGCACTTACAGCCTCCAGAGGCCTTAGTATTAAGGGAATGCAGCAGGGTCAAAACAGTAAAGAATGAGAGGGTCACAACATCTTCACAAGTGTCACTGCTCAGGCAACAGCAGGTGGTCCCAGGCTAACACATCAGGGGACATACAAGGAATCATGAAGTGAACAGAGGGATGCCCCCGGCTTCTCACAACTGCTCTCAGTTAGCTACTTTTCTTGGCAATGCAATCACCAAGGTAAGTCAAAAAGCATGTTATTAAGTGCCTACTATATGCTGGACACTGGCCCACAGCAGCGTCCCCCGTGCCTCTCATAAGCAGTCACTGGTGGAAGGCCCAGACGGCCTTCACAACCACTTCCACCCTCAATCTGCTCTAGCAGTGGTGAGCAGCATCTCCTTGTCCTTTAGGGCCCCTCTAAGTAAACACCCAGAAGACTCAAAGAGGCTGTGTACTCGCTCCCTTGGGGTGCTGAGGATTTTTATTTCATACTTTTGTGTTCCCAAAGACCCACCACTATATGTGCCACCGTATAAGTGAGAAAGAGCAAGGCCATGGAAGGGACGCGTCCTAATTTCCTGTTGCTACTAGTAACAAAAACCCTTATACAACCTCAAACGTGCTTTAGAGGCAAGAGGTTATGAAAGAAGCTGTGAAGTTGACATCCCTGCATTTATTCAGGCAAGGAAAGAAGTCCAAGTTGGAAGCAAGACATGGTGGCAGGATGACTTTGAGGACCCTTGACCTGTTCCTATGTTGGGGACAATGAGGCCTCTCCCAGCAAACAGCCCACATAGGCCAAAGAGAAAAAGTTCAGCAAGCAGAGGGAACAACAAACAAGATAAAGAGGGGAAAAGAAGAGCAAAGGAATTAAAAAGTGCCCAGTCTAACCTGCATTCTGCAAATAATCTGTCATTTCACCACTGAGGGAGAACTCCCAGAACGGAGCTTCCACAAATTCAGACCAGCGTCTCTTTCATAGCCTATCAAGGACTGCCCTCTTCCCCCGTCATCAAGGCACAACAAAAAGTCACTTTGCACCCACTTCCCCAACACACGCAGGCTCACCTCCAGTGCCGGCCACACGGATGTCATTGCTGTTGCCTTCGTAAGTAAACAAGGCCCTGTAAGAAAGCACAAGTAGATTATGCGGTCAGGTGTCACAGTACACCCTTTATCTTGAAGTGCTACAGAAGTCCACAATAATCTGAGGCCTTACAAATGATATTAGCTGAATTTGTATGAACACCTAACATTTCACAAACTTCTGTCCTTCAAGGTCAGGGGTGCAAAGTATCATTATCCCCATTTCCGAGATATGGAAACTAAAGCTGAGAGAGATGATCCACATAGCCAGTAAACGGCAGAAGAGGGCTGAACCCAAGGTCCAGGCGGTCCACTTCTAACCCAGTGCTCTTTCCATTACACTCATCTGCCTCTCTAACACCGGGATAATATGATTCTTTAAAAAAAAAAAAAGTAATTAGATACTAATTTTCCATGGAGGTCACTAAAATTCTGCAGACAGCTTCCTCAGCTAGTCAAAGGAATTCACAGTCAAGGATGTAGAAAAGTCAGAGGAGACTGACTTGTCTATTAACAGACAAGAATCATGAACTAAGGTTGCTAGCGAAGCTAAAAGATAAAGGGAGAGATCCCCTTATATACCTAACCCAAAGCAACTTAAGCAAAGCTGGGAAGATCAAGCAGGAGAAAGATACAAAATTAGGCAAAGGGCCATCGCACTTAACTCCCTTTGTGTGTACACCTGCTCTGTATACTTGCGGCTAACATAGCTGTCTAGGCTGGGATGAAGCCCCGAGTCCTGATGTGAGGGTAGCTATTTTGATATTTGAGACTTCTTATTCCCTGGCCACTGCATCCCAGGTGCTGAACACATCACATTAAGATCACTCTCATTAGCCTTGGACACGTTACTGTCTCCAGCCACTGCTTTAATTTCTTCACATAAAAGTAGGGCCTTATTTCTTTGTTTTCCTTTTTAACAACATCTGCATTTACTTCCAAGGAATACTGGGCAAGTAACTGATAACTACAACACCCATGAAAATGTACAGGCTTACAAATAAACTCACAGCTACTTGGGAAAAGTCACAATCATGAGTTGTTTGATCCTCATTTCACAGACAGCAAGCTAACAAACTAGGGCAATTCCCCAGCTTTCCAGCATAAAGAAGCAAGTTAAGTGAAAATTCCCGCATCCAAAACGGCAATCACATTAGCCGTCTTTAAACCAGCCCAGGCAGGCAGCTTTGTGAGCTATCTTGTTTTGCATTCAATCAGGAGTTTTTAACCTTCATTGGTGTCACCAACCCTTCTGGCAGTCTCGTAAATTGTACTAACCTCTTCTCAGAACAATCTTTTTAATATACAAAATAAAGTACACAAGATTACAAAGGAAACCAAATACACTGAACAAGTTGAAAACTAATTCACAAACAAACCCTCCTGAAATCTCCACATGGACCTCGTGGCAGTCCGTGGGCCTCAGACAGGAACTTCTATATCAGAAAAAGATCTGATAAATTGATCTCCAACATACAATAAATGAGAAGCAAAATTCATTCAGAATTCATAGTTCACCACCCAGGAATAAAATTCACTTGGAATTCCACGTATAGTAGAATAGTCTCTGGGTCTACGTGTTTGTGTATATCTAACGATGTATAAAGAAACACGAAGCTGAAGACAAGACCCTATTGTTTCCAAAGGGCTCTGTCTAGCCTGGCACACTGGCTTCACTCACAGCCATGTCGAGACGATCAAGCAGATACAGTGGTGAAATGAAAAGGATGAAGGAGGGAAAGCAGACCCAGACAGGATTCGGTGGATCAAGTTAATGAGGAAACAGCCAAGAAGGAGACAGTGCTTTTGCAGGGAATGAAACACAATGCAAAAGACTTTCAGAAACACAGGTGGGAGTAAAAAGGAGTGACCCAAATGAACTGGGGAAGAGGCTGTCATTATTTCAAATTATCCCATCCAATTTATCACTGATTATATCACTGACTCACGGCTTCTGTTGTGGTCAAATGTTTCCACTCCTCCCTGAATGAGGAAACACTGCTCCTTTCTGTGAAGACAAAGGTCTAACCACGGAGTACTCGCTCTAGCAAGGATGGGCCCTCAAGGCTAACTGGGAGAAAGGCACCAGCTCAGTACAGACTCTATTAGCCCTCTTTCTGATAGGAAGCAAAGTAACTCTTTGGCCCCCCTGCAAACTCTTCAAAGTTACCTCCCACTGATCCCCTAAGACCCCCTGCTTCGGCTAAACTATTTTGCTTGCTCCCAGCAACAGAGCATTTCTATATAAGTATAATACGTGTACCTGTCCTCGAGAAGGTTATCGTCTTCCTGGGGAGAGAGGACATACAAAGTTAAACAACACAGATAAACACAGATCACAGTTTTGCCAAAGGAATGGTTCAGACAATCAATGCCACTCCACAGTGAGTTGAAGGGATCTGAGAAAGTTCATAGAACAGATGTTTGGGCTGGGTCCTGGAGCAGGAATAGGATTTACAAGGAGAGGGAAGACCTGTGAGTTGGGATCAGGAGGGAACAAAAGCACAGAGGGAAGAAAGTGGAAGTCAGGGGAGACAAGACATGTCCAGGGGCAGTAGATAATCCAGGAATGGTAAGAGAGGAAGCAGAGAGGACCACCTAGCTCTTGCCTAGGGAGATGAAGAGAGAGCCTGAAGCCACACTATGGGGGACTTAAAGGCCAAGCTTCCATGGCTATGGAAGGTTCTGAGGCAAGAGAATGACCCAATCAAAGCAGCATTTTGACAAGATGTGTCTGGTAGCAACCTGCAGGACTGAAATAGAGAGGGATTCGATACGGGAAAATCCATCAGGAGGCTATTACAGTAATCTGGGCATGCAGTGTACAGGCTTGTAGTGGGAATAATGGCCTCTACAGTTAGGGTTTGAAAAGCATTTTACATCCATCTGCTTCACCACTGACCCATCTACCAACCCTGGAAGAGAGGCACTATGAGTAGGGTTCCTATTTTTCAGATGAGGAAACAGACTCGAAGGTTTTGTAATTTTCCCACAATTAGTGTCAGAGGTACGATCCAAACCCAGGTCTCACCTGCCTTCAAGTCCAGAGCTCTCACCATTACATTATCCAGCCTTCCCTATTAGAATGGTAGCAGTGAAATATTACAAAGGAAGAATCAAGTCTTTATGACTGACAGACAGAAGTCAAAAATGCCTCCAAGATTTCAACTGAGTAACAGGGTCATAAGAGCAGCAGAAATAGGGAAGCCAAAAAGAGGAACTAGGAGCTAGGTTGAGAAGTTCGATTTTAAGCAAACTTTGTTGGCAAACTACCTTGAGGCACAAACAGGTTGTTCAGATGAAAATGCCCAATAGGCCATTGGAAACAAGCCAGCACAAGGCCACCCCACAGCCTGCTGCTGGCCTGATCTCCCAACCTTCCCTCTGACTTCACGGCTCCCATCCCCTCCTGTGTCTGTCCCTTGAGGAAGAAGAAGAGCAACAGCAATTGGGGGTGGGCCTTCCACCTCCTGCTGGGCAGGTCCAACTTCCCTCTCCTGTTGAGCTCTCTCCTCACTAATCTCCAGCCTTCAGAGGAGTAATGAAGCAGGAATGACCATCTGCCTTCCCCCTCGGGCTCCCCATGTCTCCAGTCTCCTTTGGGAAGTGGAAAATGGCACCCTCCACATAACATTCTCACACTGAGTCATACCTTTGCTCTTGCTAACTTGCATGCAAATGCAACACCTCTGTGTTCAAGAATCCCCAAATCCTTTTATCAGACCGTAATCTATTTGATTTTCACCTCTCCCCCTGCCTTCCTTTACAAAATTGTACTCTTCATCCTGTGACCTCTAACCCCTTGACCCTTCAATTTCCTCCCAGGCCATCTTCCCTGCACTAACCACTCTTTCCTCTTCTCCCCATCTTGACTCCCTGGTGAACTAATTCAACTCTATACTGTCCTCCTCTCTTGAACCTCTAGCCCCCTTATTATTTTGCCAACTACACCCAGCCAAGCCTAAGCCTTGGATCACTCCTACATGCTGCTGATCAAAGGTAGAGAAAATCACTGCAATCATTCTGACTATGTCCACTACACATCTTCAACTGGGCCCTCACTGCTGCTTGGCAATCCTACTAAACCTCCCTTATCAACTGACTGTCCCACCCTCCACTGCAGCTCTTTCAAACCTCCCATGGCTTCTGCTCCCCTCCCCCCAACCCTCTCAGCTGGGAACCTTGTCTTATATTTTACAGAAAAAATTGAGGCTATTTGCCATGAGCTTCCTCTTCTCCCCTCTTCCCCAGCTCCTAACACTCAGGAGCCTTCTGCCACTCTCTTCTCACATGATGAGGTGGCCTTGCTCCTTACCAAGGCTAACCCTTTGTACCTGTTCAAGTGACCCCATCCTATCTCCCCCAACAGACTGCCCCCTCTGTCATCCTCACTCTTTCACCTGTTTCCAATCTTTCCCTCTCTACTGGCTCCTTCCCTACTGCCTACAAACATGCCCATGTCTCTCCCATACTCAAAAAACCCTCACTTGATCCTTGCATCTTCAGTAACTATTGTCCTATATCTCCTCTGCCTTTTGAACTAAACTCAAACAGCTATCATCTACAACGGGTGCCTCCACTTTCCTTTCACTGTCTTCATAACCCTTTACAATACAGCTTCCAATGGCCTTTTCTCAAGCCTCATTCTCCCTGACCTCTCTGTGGCCTCTGCCACTGTTGATCACTCTCTCCTCCTTGATACTCTCTTTTCTCTAGGTTTTCATGACACTGACCTCTCCTGGTGCTCCTCCTGTCTATCTGACTTCTTCTGAGTCTCCTCCTTTGCTGGATCCTCCTCCAGATCACATCCTCTAACCGTAGGTGTCCCTCAGGGTTGCCCTGGCCCCTCTTCTCTTCTCCTTCTATACTACTTCACTTGGTGATTTCATCAGCTCCCATGGATATAATCAACATCTTTATGCTGACGATTCTCAAATCTACCTATCCTGCCCCACCCTCTCTGCGGACTTCCAATCTCACATTTCCACTTGCCTTTCAGACATCTTGAACTAGATGTCCAGTAGACATCTTAAAATCA